AGTCTTTTTCTATTTGCGGTAAGAATTTTACATATTCTTGTTTTTTCCGCTAGTACTTTTACAAAGGTTTATTTACATTATTTTACTAAGAACTTGGGTCAAACAACAAGTCTATATAGGTGTATAACATTGCTTACTATGTAATTAACTTTGTTTTGTGTCCATATAATTGACTCCTAACTGAGGGCACTCCAAAGTACCATAAAAGAAGTGAGGGACCCTTTGACAGAGTACAGGTTGCTCGTACTCTTAGTCACGTACGTGACGTAACAGGTTAGTCATTCACTATGTGTCATGATGACACTCATATCTACCTCAGCACCAAATCCCTCCATAACCCACCCCTTACCTACATCGATTCCTGTCTGACAGCTATTAAAACTTGGATGCAACATAACCTCCTCAAACTGAACAGCAACAAAACAGAACTCCTCCTAATTGGCTCCAAATCCACCCTCAGCAAGGTCACTAACATAACACTCACCATCGATGGCACCATTGTTTCCCCCTCCAATCAGGCATGCAACCTTGTCGTAATCTTTGACCCCACCCTCTCCCTCGAACCTCACATCTGCCAAACAGTCAAAACCTAATTTTTCCACCTACGCAATATTGCAAAAATCCTACCCTCTCTCACCCGCCCCGCAGCCGAAAGACTAATCCATGCCTTCATTTCCTCCCGCCTCGACTACTGCAACTCACTTCTTTACGGCATCAGCACTACATCCTTCAACAGACTCCAACAGGTTCAAAATGCAGCTGCACGTCTCCTCACGCATACCAAATCATGGCATCACATCACCCCAGTCCTCAAAGACCTTCACTGGCTTCCTGTCTCCCATCGCATCAACTACAAAATTCTGGTCCACACCTACAAAGCACTCCACCATTTGGCCCCCCCTTATCTCACAAACCTTCTCACTCCTTATCAACCCCCACGGTCCCTCAGATCCACCGCAGCCAGACTTCTATCCATTCCCACATCCACACTCTGCAGCTTTGGGGACAGAGCCTTCTCAGTGGCAGCTCCTAGGCTCTGGAATTCCCTCCCACAAGATCTCCGTGACTCTGAATCCCTCAGAGTCTTTCAGTCCCGCCTCAAAACACATCTTTTCAACTCTGTCTACCCATGAGCCCCTCCCCCACCCCTCTCAATCATTACATTACATTACATTATTACACAATCAACTTCCTCTTGACTGCCTTTTTTTTGTTTATTTTATTTTACTACATTTATTTGTTTACTTATCCTTGTTTGTTTACCCTCCCTCATACTTTAAAGCGTCTTTGAGTTGAGAAAAGCGCTATATAAATAAAATGTATTATTATTACTTGCTAGCCTGTTCCATTCTTCGTTTTCCGAGGCTAGGAGGTATTATTTTTGCCTCGCTTCTTAAGGAGCTCACTCGGAGGTACATGTGCTACCAAGCAAGCTTCCTCGACATTGAGAAATACCCCCTCAGTGCTAAGGAGACAACTTATTACATGGGAAATTGAAAACACCTGTGTTGGTGGACCAGGGTCTTTAAAAGTAGTTGATGCTATATATTTCAGGATGTTGCCTTTAGTTGTGTTACATTGTCCTATTTATTGTTTGGTTTATTTTAGAAGGCACATCTTGGAAACAATTACAGGGACATGTAATTGGTTAAGTGTATCTTTTATACACATATGTGTAGACTGTTTTTGTAACTGTCACGTATCTTCAATATCTTTTTGACACAATGCTATTCAAATTTTATATTTTAATGTGCTTCCAAGCTAATTAAAAATGATGTTGTAAAGCTAATAACTTGTCTATACAGTCTATGCATTTGGTGTGCATACATGTGTATCAGTGCTAGTGGAAAGTAACAAGAACCTTTTCTGAAGTACTGTACTTGGTAAAGTAAAGATACATTTAAAACTGTAGATATAATTTCACCCAAGAATTTCCATTTTATGGTACTTTATACTTCTACTGTAGTACAGTTTGGCTGCAAATATTGTACTTTTTATGCCACTACATTGATTTTAAAACATAAGTGCTATTTAGTCTAATATAATCTATACATACGTTCAGGTTAATAATTATATGTAAAGCGACACAGTAATATATCAAGTAATTACAATTATCTCCACCTTTACCAGCTGAAACGATAAATCAGTGTGCATCAATTAGAATACATTTTAATCCAGTAATTTTATATTGTAGTTTCAGTATATGATGCTGCTTCTGAGAGCTGCTGTTATAACTGTGTATATTCAGACTGTATTACTTATCAAAAGTGAGGCTCATCAAATGTTTATTTCCTACCTTTTTAAATAGAAGTAGCTTCTTTATATAATGAAAAATGTACTTTATAAGGGGATTCTTTGTTGTTTTAACCACACCATTTTGTCACATGTTCAAGCAGAGAGAGCTTTTTATTAATATTAAAACTTGTGACTTAGCTGCAAAACAGAATTTATAACTGTGGATTTGTGTTGGGACATTAAACATACCCATGAATATATATCTGTTTGTAACTAGTGGATCTGGAAAGGAAGTAAAGTGACTAATTCATTTAAAAGAAATCACAAAAAAAAGAAATCACACATTTTAGAGGGGCAGTCTTTTGGTTTAATGGCCAAACTTCACAAAAAGCGCAACGGCCAAAAAGAAGAGGAAGAGGAGACTGAGGTAGTGTCCACACAAGCCAGCCTCCCCTCTTTTAATAGACAACTAATGGAGAAAAATGAATGATGAATCCTAATGAAAAATGGGGGACGGGGGAGGAGGGGGTGTGTGTTTCCAACCATCCATGTCATATAATTTTGACTGTGATGAATTAAAGAAAATGATTGCAAAGTAAACTGTGTATTCATTGCAGGAGGTATCATTTATCACCTCCTGACCTGTCAGACTACTTAATCAATTAATGTACGTGCATTAATCCATCTTCAGTCTTTCCATAAAGCTAACACTGGATGTCAAATGAAAGTGGTGATTCATCACAGGCTGACCATTTCAGGAGATAAAGAAAACACTATCTCTGTATAGGCCATAAGCAGAACCTTCTCTAAATAAAAACAACAATTCAAAGGTATGTCTTATATGACATTGACATTTAATGACAGCTCTCAGTTAGGTTAAATGAATGACTCTGAACGAGAAAATAACATTTACATTAGTAAAGACGATGGTAACATATTAAGTGATTCGAATTTTCTTTCTTCACTCCCCAAAAATACACATAAAAGAGTTATATAAAAAAGTTCCCGCAATATGGCAACATTTTTAAAGCTGATATACATGACATTTTACTTTAGCAGCAGTGGCGGCGCTAGATATTTTCTTTTGGGGATGCTGTGGGGTAGCTTGACGTTTCACAGATGGTGCTCAAATCTTTAGGGTTTCCCATTAATGTCCCGGGCGCTACACTTGAATGATCTGCAACACTCCCCACACGCACATACACAGTACACCCACGACTGTTGACAGCAAAATGAAGAGATCTATGGATACAGTACATCTCAAAACCCACATGAAACAGAACTGTAAACATATTTACTTTTGGTGCTAAAAATCTTAGCATGTTCTTTGTCCTTTTGAAGGGTGTAGTCCATCATTGCTAGAAAAATACTACAACTCCCCTCGCCTCTTGCATCCAACGCAAGAGCCACGGAAAGGCAACTAGTTTACAGCTATAAATTGAATTATGTGTCCACAATAGCTGCATAGGTGCGGTTTCTCTCCAGTTGTGCTGCATTTACAAGAGTGGAAACCTCTGTACCAGTCTCACTTCTTGCACGCCTCTCCTTCCACAAAGCCACTGACTTAATGTGCTCTTTGCTTGATTCATGCCTTCCCAGTCCCTTATCACGTAGGCCTACGGTACAAGAGCATAGCGCCAGTTGTTGTAGCCAGTTGTGGTGAGGGCATCTGACGTAGGCCTACTTGAACCGAAATGTCTACATGCATGCATAGCAGAAGATGGCATTTTTTACAGGAATATTCCAGCCAATCTCTGTTTTGAAACCATGAGCTGCAAAATGAGCGCCTTACCCCACTGTACAGGCGAGTTGGGTTATTATATGTTAAATATACCTGGGCAGGGTCTGTTTTGCCGAGGTCCTCTGGCACTTGCGGGCTGAGGGGTGGCGGTGTTTGGGGCAACGAAGACGGCTGCGGCTGCTCCGCCTCCGTGGGCAAAGCCGGAGAATTGGGGCGGGAGGACGTTAGTGTCCACGACAGTGGCCGCGGGTAACGTAATGTCCCCATGATCTGAACTGTTATTACCTGCAGTAAGGCAAGGCCATTTTTATTTATAGTAGATGCAGTGTTACTGCTGGCGATAAGGGCTGGTTGTTTTAACCATTTTGATGTCCATCATTGACTGCTGTGTTAGCAAGTTGCAGATGACGAACGAGCAGCGGCACAGGTCACGCGCACCTGACATAATAACGTTACCGTTTAAATTGACCAAATAAATGCAGCAGACAATGTTATTTAACTACAATTTATTTGTATTTCAACTATATTCTTCATCTTATTAATATAATTATTATTACTACTATTATTATTATTATTTTTATTATATGTCATATTTTTCACTTTTCATTTTGCAAATGAGGGTGCACAACGACTCAACTGAGGGTAAAATGCACCCTTATGCACCCCCGTAGAACCGGGCCTGAGATAGAGTACACTGTTGAGTTGTCTAATCTGCCTGTTTTACACACTTTAACCAACAGAGGGGTTTGTGTTCAAATGAAGCCCATGATGAAGCCTCATGAGATGAACCCTTTTGCGAACCAATTGGCTGGAAAGCTTCAGAGCTTCATAAGGCTTCATCTCGCCATCACTAGTTCACATGTCTAGTCTACCCGTGGCATCCTGGCATTGCCGAGTCTTGAATTTTCCCTCATTTCAGGGTGTTGTTTTTTATGTTAGAATATTTTTGATTTTCCCACAGAACGGGAATGCAACATGTGACCAAATCAGCTGATGGAGGAAAAAAAGGCTCGCGGCCCGCCTTCTTGTGTGACGCATGGCTCACGCTACGGTACGCCATTTGTGTCTAGCAGCAAAAAGCGCGGACAGTGGACATAGTCGTATAACAAGAGGTAAGTTAAATTGAGGTTGAACTGTGTCATTAAATTATCACCTGCATTTATTTTGCGGAAGCGATAGGCGGTCTCTGGGGTGTTTTCAAGTACTGTTTCGGCAAACTAGAGGACTGTTTCAGAGGTCGATGTTAGCCTCCTTTTTGGGCCTCTGTGCTGCCGTCGTTTTCCAAGCCATGGAGCAGTGTAGACCCGCCTCTGTCCCGCGGTGATTGGACAACAAAGCTGATGTAGCGATTTAATTGGACGTGCTGCACGCATCTCAAAAATACAGCTGAGAAAAAAGCCGCTTGTTAGCAAGTTAGCATCAGGTAGCAAACAGCAGTATTCACAACTTCACCTGTTTTTTGTGCAGTTGCAGGAGCCATATTCAACTTGAAAAGTGTTTTCACACTTTCGCAACTCTGGTGCATTGCGTGTATGTGTGTACCCGGTGCAATTTACAACATGCAGTCTTAAACACGTTCGGCTAACTTAATATCACTTCCAAGCTATCATCGATTGCTTGGTAGTGACACATCTGGTAGTTCACTAAGGTGGAGTGAGTAAGTCACAAGTGTGGCTAGAATGTGATGAAAGTATTTAAATTACCACGGAGTTGTACCAGTTGCAGAAAGAATATTCCTTGTTGGTCTGTAAATCCTGTTAACCGACGACACAACCTTATGCAAATCCAATATTACTTCTCGTGCTCTAGAAGGAAAACGTGAGACTGAATTGACCCCAAAAAACCTGCGAACATAAATTCAGCACAATGTGGGACCCTTGGTAGTTTAACTTTAGTAAAGGTGCTTTACAAATAAAATGTAGTATTATTATTACATGATCCAATAGCCCACATGAACATCCATCTAACTGTTTTTACATTTTGTGACAATATACATTATTTGTTCCTCAAGATGTCCCCTTTACAAAAACACTGTATTTTAGTGTTGAGAATGTTTCAAATAATTACAAATCAAGCACATTAACACTTAACTGTAAAAAATATGCTGCAACACAAAGTACAAATAAATAAACACTTTTTTTAAGTTGCCGTGCATTGAGCTTTCTTAGCCAATGTATACTTATATTGAAGCTTTGCTAAAACGGAAAACATTGAATGAAAATGGCAACTGTGTAAAGCACTAGAAATATTGATATTCATAATTAAGATGTGCTTTAGTTAGACTTTTACTGGCATACTTATGGAAACTATTGTAGCTCCACTAAATCATGTCTACAAGCATGTAGTAAGGATACATACATAATAATAATAATAATAATAATAATAATAATAATATGACTTCAGTGGACATTTTTCCAATAAATAAGTACCAACAGCTCTCATTCTCTTCTCAAAACAATTCTCACCAAGAGACACTAGATGGAGACATTTACTTGTGTAAATGCAGATGGTGTTGTTGAAGGATTCATCCCCTTTCAGAAGCTTATGTTAAATTTGAAATTATTTGGGCAAAGACACTTAATCTGTCTCCATAATTCTTTTGAAAATCCCAAACATATATATATTTTTTTTCTTTCTTTCCAGGAGTTTGATCCAGTGTTGGTGAAAACGATCAACTTCACTGTTATAGAATTATAGCAGTGTAAGATATGGATGAAACAGTAACATCAGAAAAAGAGGCTGTTGAGGACAAAGTGCCTGACACCGTCAGTTGTAAGGTGCAGCAGGATGATGTTGACATGGAGGGAAATAAAGAAGACCCTCCCGAAAGTACTGCCAAGCCTGATGAAGCAGAAGATGAACTCACTAAAGGTCTTCTGCCGGACTCCGTGCCTGAAGATCGGGATACTATCTGCACAAATTGTGGGTTCTCAGCTAAATGTCCAAGATCACTGAAGATTCACTATGCAAGAAAGCATGGAAAGAACTCGAGGAATAACAAAAGAACAGCTAAGCTAGCTGAAAAAAGTGAACAAATCTCTGACCTGAGTCCATCTGAAATCCATCAGGAAGTAGACATGGAGACAGAAAGTGCTGCTGAAGTTCAACAGAACAATAAGTCTGATAGTGATGAGCTGGGATCAGGGTCCAATGAGATGAAGACAAAGCATTTAACTAAAAAGCAAACTGAACTAGACAAAGAGCAGGCAGATCAAGAAGAGGCCATCCCTATGCAGGAGAGAAGAGTGAGCAAGCGGACCCCAAAACCTAAGATGATATATTCTTGCAACTACTGTGGACAAGAGTTCAGGGACAAGTCCCCTTTGGATGTGCATATCCAGAGTTACCACACCAAAGACACCCAATTCACATGTGAGTATTTATTTTACTCAATATTATTTTGGTATTAGATATTTGTTTAATTTGTAATGCTGAGTTTTCATTCTCAATATTTCTGCAAAAATAAGTTCAAAGTTAGATTGGAATACACGTTTTTTACTGAATTGTTTAGATTATTGGTTAAAAAGCTCATCTAAAATCTCTTTCAGTTGAGGCTGGTGAGAACATGGATGCAGAAAAGGACGCTGAGGATTCTGGCAGCACTCTGAAAGCTACTCCCACAAGAGTGGCAGCTAAACGTCCGCTCAGCAGGTTCCAGCTTAAGTGTACCAAATGTGATTTTAGGGTTAGCAACCCTTCATTGCTGGAGAGCCATACTCGAATCAAACACATGAACCAGCAGTGGTACCGTTGCAAATTGTGCAACTTCTTTTCTGCCACATCTGAGTGGATGGACGCTCACCTGTCCTCCGATAGTCACATGCAGCAGCAGAAAGAGGAGAAAGGCATGGAGCATTCGGCATTTGAGGTGTACGTTGAGAGTGTAACTAGAGACAGTATTGGAGAAAGTGGTAAAGTGGATGATATGGCTCAGGTGGCTACTGGAGAAGACGTAGACTCTGCAACAGAAGGACATCAGGAAACTGAAGAGGCAGTGGAGACTGCCAAAGCTGATTCGGTCGAGGAAGAAGATTTTGAGCTTCAATCTCCCAAAAGAAAAAGAGGAAGACCAAAGCAAGTGTCCACGACCACTTGTGGATACTGTGGCCTGGTAGTGTCCAATGCTACTAACCTCAGTGTCCATGTCCGCCGCAAACACAGCAAGGAGTATGGCTACAGCTGCACCCTGTGCAACTACAGCTGCGTGACCAAAGGAGACATGGATCGTCACTGCATCACAAAGAAACATGTCAGACGTGCACAAGATTGCTCAAATAAGAACCAAGTGGACAACCACAGAAGTCCGTCCCCGCAGGAATCCACAAGTCAATGCCAGGAACCAGATGCAGCCCCACAGACCCCTGATAAGGAGTCAGAATCTGACAACACAGCATCCAACGAGCAGAGCGGGGAAGAGCAAACTCAGTCAGACACAAGCCAGAACAAAAGTAAATATGACTCTCTGAATGCTTGCGTGTATTGTGATTTTGTAGCTCAATCAGTCCCTTCACTGCATCTTCACGTCAAGAGAAAGCACACCAAAGATTTTGAGTATGTATGTCTAGCATGTAGCTACTATGCCGTAACAAGCAGGGAAATGTCTCGCCATGCCAGCACAGAAAAGCACAAACAGAAAAGCCGGAAATATCTGGCACCAACAGGAAGCGAGGGACAAAGAGATGCAGCGCTCCCTTTGAAGCAAAAAGAGGACATTGATCTTGAGGGGGCAAACTCCAACACTGAATGTGAGCCCTATAGCCCCAAAGAAGAGTCTGACTCTTGTGCTGGTGACAGCCAAGTTGTGGAAAGTCAGAATCCAGCCGAACTCTTCGTCACCACAGAGCATGTTGATGCTGTAGCTGGTGTGGACAAGGAGCAAGCAGAGCCTGATACATCTTCTAGTTCCAGTGAACCACATCTAACCAATGTGACAATGGACCCTACAGAGCTATCTGAATCCAAGCAGGCTGTAACAGATATTCAGCCTTCAGTGGATCAGCCTGAGGGCCAGGAGGAAGTGGAGGAACAGGCGGACGAAGAGCAAGACATGATTATAGATGCAAAAAGTGGCAAATGTCCTCCAGATACACAAATGTCCAAAGCCCTTCCCTTCGATGCCTGCATTGTATCCTGGAAGAACCTTGCTGAGCAGGAGCTGCAGGAAGGTTTGACTCTAGAGGGCGAGGCTGCTGTCATATGTCTGACTGGGGGGTCCCCGGTGACTGGCTGCCTGCCCTCTCACTCTGCATACGTCAAGAAGATCACACGCAAAGAATTGAAGGTGAGAAAGGAAGCTAAGGGAAGCGGCTCGCGCATACGCTGCGACGACTGCGGCTTCATGGCCGACGGCATCAGCGGCCTCAACGTCCACATCTCAATGAAGCACCCGACCAAGGACAAACACTTCCACTGCTTGGTGTGTGGCAAGTCTTTCTACACCGAGAGCAACCTGCACCAGCACCTGACCAGCGCCGCCCACCTCCGCAACGAGCAGAACAGCGTGGAGGAGCTGCCCGAAGGCGGCGCAAGCTTCAAGTGCGTGAAGTGCACGGACCGCTTCGAGTCTGAACAGGAACTGTTTGTTCACATCAAGGAGAAACACGAGGAGCTTCTGAGGGAGGTCAACAAGTACGTGGTAGAGGACACGGAGCAGATCAACCGCGAGCGCGAAGAGAACCAGGGCAGCATGTGCAAATACTGTGGCAAGGTGTGCAAGAGCAGCAACTCCATGGCCTTCCTGGCACACATCCGTACACACACTGGTATGTACCCTGCCTCTATTACACACACTCTTCCCCTTTCTTCTACTCTTTATATTTCACACTCATACACAATGCTAATTTTCAACTAAAGGTGACCTATCATGCAAAATGCATTTTTGTACGTCTTTTATACATGAATATGTGTCCCCGGTGTTCCAGGGAACTCACCAAGTGTCAGAAAACACAACCCTCTCTATTTTCCTCCATACCCAAATCTCTTAAAAAGGGGCTGCAACGGATCTGATACAGACTGATCCAGATTTGAACACTTCTATGACGTCACAGAAGTGGCGCTACGGCTATTGGGCCAACTCCACCAATCAGGAGGAGACAGCCACGGACTTTGCCGTTGGAAAGCGCTGGAGACGCTGTAGTACATATGCCAGGCCTGTAGATGGTGCTGTTCTCACAGAATCAGCCCATGCAAAGACAGTGTTAAATTGAGCGAAATGAGGAATGGCTAAAATGCATGATCTGTTTGGTATTTTGAAAAATAAAAAGTATAAATATGCGTTATGGTCCTACACTATGTTATTCAAATATAGCATGATAGGTCCACTTTAAGTTTACATTTAATGCAGAGCACGCATGCCTGAGCTCTAATGAGTATCCTGTCTCATTAAACCTTAATTCAAACTCAGCATTGTTTAGATCCATGTTGACTAGCTTGCTGTGTTCTTCTGCACGGCCTTTTCTGGCCCATTGCAGTGTCCTTTGGTGCATTACTGCCAACTGTAGGTCAGTCTTATACTGTTAAACAACTGGCAGGACATATCAGGCATGTCCATCCTCCTCTGCGTGCACAAAATAAGCAGATTTATGACACAGGTCTACCAGAGGTCAAAAACTACAAAAGAAACCTAAAAGTAAAGGATTAAAATACTTCTACAACAACATAACAAATTATGTTCTTTAAATTCCTCTGACTAACTTTCTGCGGAAGAAAGTTCTTTTTTTTACTTGTCACCTTTTATTTGGTGCCATTCTCTTTTTTTTAAAGGCCGTCTGTTGAATCATCAATAGTCATGTGCATACAACCTGCTGTGTCATTAAATGAATGAAAATACTGTAAAACTCTGCACTGTTATACATGTCATGGTATATAATCAGATGGTCTAATTGAGATCTTCTTCAAGATTCCCCTCATAATAAATATCCTATAATAAGATTAAATGATACCATAGTGTAGTTTGTGAATGTGTTACCTGAGCCACCAGCCTCTGGTTCTCCAGCAGCCAGGTCTCCCTCATGGCCGCCTTCCTGTCGAATCTCCTGGCCGTCTGCTCCAGCTTCTCCTGTCGGATCAGCTCGTCTCTCAGGACGCGCTCCCGCTCGTGCTCCGCCCCCTCCAGACGCTCCCAGCCCTGCACGCAGATCAGGAGGGGATGTTTGTTGATGTTTGTAGTTTGGGTGGTAAAAGTAACTTTATTTGTTCACTTTTATGAAATTCTTTGCTTGAGCTCCTTTTATCCCATCGATAAATATGTTAGAGGATCGGTCAGTCACAAAACAACTCCTGAAGGTGGTTGGTATTTCAGTTTTAAGTTCAACAATACTGTATGTTAATGTTGATGATCCAATTGCATAAGAGGGCCGTAACTAAAGATGTTTTTAGTGTGGTTATTTTATTGGTCATTGCCTTAATTATTGTATTTTTTATAGTGTGTTTGGTCTGTGAAATGTCAAGCTAATTGTAAAAAACGCCTGCTTCAAAGAGCCCATGTTTTTGTTTTTTACAGTTTACTGAGTTGCAGTATAACGAGTATAATTCAATTCATTTGTGGTTTAATTGTTGCCTCTGGACTGGCATCTGCCGAGTGAATGCATTGTGACCCGTCGTGTATGCTTGGACTTCAAAACACTGACTTTATGCTGGTCAAAAGAGAGACACTCTTTATATGAAGTCATCTGGTTGGTTAGTTAATATGTTCATAATTAATAAGTTAATAAAATGTATCTTTCTGAAAAAAAGCTTGTCTATTTGAGGATTTATGTCTTATCATGTTTAATTTGATAATAAACTGAATATATTTAAGGTTGGTTGGCCAAAACAAGCTTTGTGAAGGCTATTTTTCCTGATATTTCATGGCCCAAATGATGCCTCACTTAATAGATCAAATAATAATAAGATTCATCAGATTAAGAAGACACATGATCCGTCTCACCCTGTTGATATCAGCCACCAGGGCTCCCTCTTTAGGCGTGTACACCCTCTGTTTGTTGGCTCTCATTCGACTCTGGATGGTGAACAGCAGAACCTCCAGGTTCCCCTTCTCCTGGAACCTGAAAGAGAACAAACACAATTTGAAGGAATTGGATTACACTGAATACGGAAATTACAAAATGTATTCTTTTATGAAATTATATTTATTTTTAAGATCAATATATAGCTGATTTCCATTCATTTTAACTGTACATTTATGTTGGATTTTTAGGTAGATAGAGGCCTTACCAAAAACATATTAAACAAAAGAAAATATTACATAATATACTAAATGTAAGCCTTAACCCCAGCCAGTACGTTTAGGTAAAACTGCTAAAAAGGTGTTTCTCTGCTGTATCAGTTTGGTATTCCATGCGCTATGTGAAAAATATAAGAAGTTATTAAAGAAAAGATCCGGTCAATTTTAAGTTTGGGGTTAATTTTTTATAATTATTTCCAGCTTCTCAGGAGGTTGTGTTGAAAATTGACATTTTTAATTTTGTTCTTGATTGCTATTGTTATGATATTTAATGAATTGTGCAGAATATCATAAAGGTGAGTTTTGCAGATTAAACAACACTGGAAGAACAGAATGCATTGGGATTGAAACAGACCAGTGTGATGTAATGGGAAGGTGTGTTGGCTCCACTCACTTGGGCGGCTTCTCCACCGTGCGGTAGGTGTTGAAGGCCTGGAGCTGCTGCTGGACTCCCGTCAGAGAGTTGGCGAGTTTCCGGTTGTTCAGCACGATGATGGTCTGCTCGATCCACGTCAGCAGGTCTGAGGACAGCGTCTCGTATTTATCAATCGTCTTCTCTGTCTCGATGGCGTGATCCAGGACCTGAAGAAGGACATAAAAGCTAATCAGGGAACATACTAACATGAACAAATTCATCATAAGTGTGTCATCTTTCCATCCCACCTTTCCAACTCTCTTTCCCTCGACAGCGAGCTGCTTCATCTTGGAGAAGTAGTGGTAAAATGCAACGACGTACGTGATGATGGACTTTTCATCTGGGTTCTCTGTGAACACATCTATAAAACAAACGGCAGACGAGTCAGTCACAGCCAAGCCAGACACCATCTCTACTCCTGAGGTCTTTTTTTCCACCAGGCTTAAAGCTCATAAACAATAGCCTCCGTCAGTCACTCGCCTTCAGGGTCCAACAGTTTGTGCACACCAAGCTGCTGCTCTGCCACGTTGAAGGCGCTCTGGAGGTTGTGCGACGGGTTTGACCTTTTCAGTTTGTTAAAGTCCACCAAATCTGGCCTGAGAGAGAAAGATGGAGAGAGTAAAAGAGGAACATGAGACAGGGAAGGAGCAGAATGAGGACGAGAGACACTGAGCAGACGGTTTCCTGAGTGTTTACATGTCAGAGCTGGTGAGAGTGGATTCAGCCATTCATCTCTCCTTACCGGTGTTTGTGTATGAGAGCGTTGAAGGCCATGCCGTCTTTCCAGCTGGTGGTGAAGTTTCTGATGTTGACATTGGGATATCTGTAAAACAACGGACAGGAGGCGTCATTAACTGGGACATAAGGGACATAGCTGAGAAGCTCCTGCTTTAAATCAACATCTGGGAACTGCTTTATAAACATGTGACAATATGAGGCTCGTATTTCTGCAGCTTCAGACCTGAGCAGACCAGTGGCACTTTGTAATCTGCTCAAAAGATCACAAAATGTAGAGGAATGATCTTGAAATAGGACAAATCATGACACAGCAAAAAACCGTAAAGACATTTTGGGAAATTCGATTATTTGCTTTTTAAATGAGAAGATCAAAACCTCTCTTCTGTCTGTACCGGGAAGATTTGTCTTTTTGCAATCTCATTTTCAACAATAAAAATGTGAATACTGAAAATAGGAACTCATTTTATTTATAGAGGCTAAGTCCCTCCCCTTCCGGTGGGACTCATGGGACCTTATTTCGGAAAAAGTTTGTATTGAAGTCAATGAGAAAACGTATATTTTGATCCCGTTTGAATTGTGCCATGAATTACACATAGATGTTTGTCAATTTAAAAGATAATTTCCATGTCAAAAAAGTCAGTTTGTCGTAAAACTGTTGAAATATAAGACTATGAAATATACTACAAATCCCAGAATCCCGGTCCCGCACGCTGGCTCTTATGGAACCGACTAACTCCCCTTGTGTGTATGTACGGCTCTCAACGTGCCCAGACTTGGAGTGATTTTCACCTCTTTTAATACTTTCCACCTCATTCTGAAAGAAAGAAGTGAAATGTGCCAACGTGACGGCCGCCTTGGTGTGTGGTGCGAGACGGGAGATGTAGTTCATTGAGCGGTTTCACACAAACAAAAGTGTTACTTCACATTTTTATTTTTTTGACTTGCAAAATTATCTTTTAAATTGACAAACATCATATGTGTAATTCGTGGCACAATTCAAACGGGATCGAAAGATAATCTTTCTCTCTCCATTGACTTCAATGCAAACTTTTCAGAAATAAGGTCCCATAGAACACTTTTCAGGATACTCAGAGGTGCTTTATATAACAAATTAAATATGTAAAAAATAACCTAGAAATCAAAAGAATATATGTGTGGAGTTACACAGGACGTAGAATAAAATATTAAAAGTTTTTTTTTTTAAATCGAGTTTGAAGACACATGAAACAATTTTCTAACCACAAAAAGATTTACAGATGTTCGGATTAATGGATTTCCAAACTAATTCCCAAAAGATGTTAACAACAGCTTAGCGATGGTAAAGTTTAAACATCCCACTTACTCCTTCGTCTTCATCTGACACCACAGAAGAAGAGCGTCCTTGGCTGAGCGCGTCTCCTTCTGGTCCGCCTGGCCCGTTTCCACAACAATGTCCTGGATCTGATTAAAAACAACACACACAGCTGCATGATAAATAATGAAACGTAACTAATGACTGCGAGCTTCGCGATCAAACAAGAACAATGCACCGCAGAGAACAAACCCTCAGTGATAGCAACATGTCGCTAATAGGATGGGAAACATTTTGGCACAAAAAAACTTGGAAATACATAATTTATTATAGCTCACAGAGATACTAGGAGGTTTTTGTTTGTGTACAATCTCATGAGGTATATCATCGATGTTATTAGCCATTTATATTCTGTTAATAGAAGGATGGTTCGTCATTATTGAAGTCCCTATTTCCTCACACAGTGGGCCAGTAATTAGAGCATTGGCTGATCTGACAGACCCTGAGAGATGACTAAATTTAGCCAGCTTTGGTCCTCCGTGGTTTATACAGACTGAAAAGATACTGCAGGACTGAGTGTTTCATTTTGTTTGAAAAAAGCCTGAATACTGCAGGAGGCCATATTGTTTGAAGTAACGTGTCTAAAAATAACAGTGTTGCTGTCAAATTAAAAATAAATAGCCTATATGCCCTTCCAGGAAGTTAAAATAGTCAAACAGACGTGTTCTGATGTTTCGATGTGCTTCTTATAATTCTTCTTATAATGTTTTGAACCTGAATTCGAGTAAAGAGACAAAAACATCCCGAGGCTGCACGATGCTTCTGTGCTGCACGCCCAAATAACACTAATCAGTTCTTTAGAGACTTGTCTATAAAACAGCAAGTTGTAACCTAAAGGCAAATACATGTTATTTACATAACTATCTACTGTATGTTTCCATAGTAAAGTGAGACCAGAACTGACATGGTAACACAAATTAATAATTAGAAGAACGTCGAACCAGATTGTAACTGAGGTAAAGAAAATAATTATTTGGTCTCTATTTCTAAAGCGTAACATGTTTGGGCAAACATGTGTTGGAAAGAAAATGTCCTGTCTTTCCTCGACTCAATATTTCTTGATACAAATAGGTTCCTTCTGCAAGGTAAGTTGGCAAATGTAGTTTTATTTGGCTTGTGCAGTAAAAAACTATGTATTGACTCCTAATCTATTGACTCATACTTACCTAATATGTGCATATAGACAACAATACCCATAAGGCGCATTCACACCAAGTACTTTTCCCAATAGTCCCCGGCCGGAAGTCCCCGGAGTTGGGGACTGGCTTCAGTAGAAGCTGCTGGGACTGGGAGTCTTCCCAGCAGCTTTTAAGTGGAGTAACTAAGGACTAAGTGCCTTAGTCAAGGGCACACTAGTGGTGGCATTCCTGGCGGGATTTGAACTCACAACCTTCCGATCTTCAGCCCACCTCACTATCCATTAGACCACCACTATCCCTTTTGTGTTGCCATAAGTCAGTCTCTCTCCGTTGGTGCGCTGGGCTAATGCTAATGCTAATAATGCTAATGTGAGCAAATAAAATGGCGGCTTCACAAAAACTTTTCAGAGTTTGGTTTGCAATTCGCCCAGCCAATCAGAAATTGAAACTTTTTTCTCACCAAGAAAGTCCCACCTCTCTAGCAGGGACTAAAAAGGGGTGAAAAGGTTCGCAAAAAAAAGTTCTAGTTCCAGATCTTTTTGGTGTGAACGCAAAATCCCACAAACTTTCGGATCTATTCCTGGGAAAAGTACTCCGGTGTGAAAGCGCCTATAGACTTACAGTATCTGTATGTTATCGGAAATATTGCTTCACTATAACACACAACCTGAAATCAATGCACTTCATTCTATGATACGACTCAACATTACACACATGTGTCATACAGTGTTTTAAATCAGCAAAAAGTATAAAAATATGATATATGATAAATGTGAGCACTCAGCGTGGCCGATGTCTCAATTTACCTGGAAGCGAAGGATGATGGTCCAGATGAGGCCGAGGATGAGGCGATGGTTGCCGTCGACGATGTCGTGGGAGCCCATGTTCTCCAGGTGGACCCTCTGCTCTTTGAGGAACTGCAGAGCCTTGTCCACGTTCTCCAGGCAGTGGATACGCATCCGGCCCTTAGTGGGTTTTGGCTATAGACAAAAAAATAAACAGAGTTAGAGGAAGAGCGTTAAAAAGCGACAGAGGGATAATGCAAAGGTTAAAAGGAGAGACAAGTATGAAAAGGTAACGAGGGAGCTTCTTACCAGCCGTTCCCCGGACAACACCTCCAGCAGTTTGATGAGCATGCGTCCGTCTCGCAGGTCCAGGTAGAGGTCAGAGATTCGACAGCCGACCCGGGACAGGATGGAGTTGACCCATTTAGTGAAGGTCTTCTTCTGAACCGCCTCGCGCTCATCTGACAGGAAAGCAAAGTTGAAGAGAGAACATGAGCTGCATGAATAATGAAATAACTTCACATCTAAGAAGTAGCACCACTTCAGATGGCGGAGATGAAGTCCTGCCAAAGGGCTCTTCTGATGAAGTAGAATCTGCTCTGAACACAGACAAGTTGTACTGCTTTAATTAATCTCCAGTGCAGAGTTAAGCTTTGTGTTTATGAATGTTACTGAGAAAATGCAGCCTGGGCTAACTCAGTTATGTATTTTGGCTAGTCAGCTTTGTCTGCAGCAAAACATGACATCATCATTTTCTACCAGCCTATTAGATCAAACATATAGTTTACATAACCAAGGACCAAGAGTGAGACTATGGGCCCTGGACATTTCAACGCAGGAGCAGAAATAGACCGACGACTGACTTTTATATCTGTGACTGCAGCGTACAATAAAAAACAGATCAGTTTCCAAACGTAATAACATTGTTTCAACAAAATAACATTTCTATTAGAGCAAAAAAAATATGTGAGGGAGAGACTTGAGAGAATGTAGAATGCAAATCAATGCGGTTCGCCATCATTTACCAATGTGTCATTTATTCAACACCGCAAAGGGCGTTACATATTTGAGTTTCATTACGTTTTAAGAGTTAAATGAGAGAGGAAAGAGTAATCTTTTAAATAACATACATTTGATTTAGAATATAACTTGTATTAACAGGGGTTCAGATAGTTACCAGCACCTTGTGAGCATAAATGTATTTAGTTTGCGCCACAGCAGATCAACACTGACACACTGGCTTCAACACATTTCACAGTATTATAGGAATCATCCATTAAAGAACACATGAGATGTAACCTGTATTTTCTTAAAGCACATATCTTCAGGTACTGTAGCCTCAGTAAGCTGTGCAGCTGTTATACTGTATAAAGAAATACATTAGTTAAAAATCTTGTATTGGATTGGCTGGTCAATATTAAAAGACCCTGATAGAATTGGGAATAGAGAAATGTTAACATTCTCCTAGGACCTATTGAATAATCCATCAATGCCCCAAACTAAAACTTCAATTAAAGTCAATTAAACCTCGTCACACTGCGGCCTGCTGGCAAAGGCAGATTTAATGTTACACTTGGGTCAATGTGGGTAGAAGTTCAACTGAGGCCACTTTCAAATATCTGGTCCAAAACAGATGTATTTTTAAGTGATTGTAATTTTAATGAGAACAATACATCAATAAATGCCACTAAAATAGTGAAAGATAACAAATGATGTACTTATTTTAATGTTAAAAGATGCTATGAAGTTTAAAATATGATATGATAACAAAACAATGGGACAGCTCTAACGGATATATACCGGAGGGAGTTATTCACTTTGATAATAATATGAAGGTTTTAATATTATACATCTACAATTGTTGTTATGTATTAATGACCTCATAAAATGCTTTTTGGTTACCTACCCGTTTTCTCAGTGTTTAATGTTACATATTCCTTATTATCACAAAAGGCAATCAAATGTTCAATTATTAAACTTCTCATTATGAGTGAGTCCTACTTTATGATAATGTGCATTTAACTTCCTTTCTTTTTGATTTTAGCTCCTATAAAATGTACTAAAACGTTATATTATTAATGCAAAATTGCTGAATTTAAATGTTAATGTTCTAAATAATCGGAGCGGGGGAGGGGAGTTATTTCTGACTCCTGCTCAAACATCTTAAAATACTTTCGAGTGTGATTTTTTTCCTTGCATGACGGCAGCTCCAGTTCTCCTGCCGATGTTGCAAACGGTGCAGCTGTGAAAAAACATTTTAGACTTGATTTAACAAAAAGGTATTATCGTATGGTATCTTACAAATTTGGTAATAAACCTCAAATAAATACACCTCAAGGAAAAGATTGAATTTAACCATCTATGTCTTCTCATCCTGTTTGCTGAGTCAAAGTACTTCTGCATAATAACATCACATACATAAAAAGTAAACTAGGTTACTGCAGTGTTAAGTGTAGGTGTACAGTATGCTGAGATTCCTTGACTGAAATGCTGTCTGAAAACTCAGGCTCGACAGGGCGGAGAGAAGCAGAGATCTGGTGTCAGACTTTGGGAAGATGAGCTGTGCCCACGCTGTGACACATCTTCCTCACACTTAAAAATCATATCTCAGTGCATGGCAGATATGCCTCCTACTCAGAAGCTAAAATAAAACCAATCTTTCTGGGACCGTATGTTAGCATATCTCACCCGCACCAAGCCATGGCAACATATCACCCCCACCCTCATCCACCTACACTGGCTGCCGGTCGGACCTCCTCCATCCCTGCACCCCTTCTCGGAGTCTGCGGTCCTCAGACACGGGCCTGCTCTCCATCCCCCGCTCTCGCCTCCGAACTGTTGGTGACAGGGCGTTCAGTGTTGCGGCCCCCACCCTAGCCCTTTCTTGGTCCCCCGGCTTCCTTTATTTTTTGTTTGCCCTTTGATTGTCTGTTTGTTTTGTTTGTCCACCATGTAGAGCGACCTTGGGTCCCTTGAAAGGCGCTATATACATATTATTATTATTATTATTATTATATGTCCTAGGAAGGCCAACGAAGTATGTTGTTTTTTAACTCAATTTGTTAAAGATATTCAATTAAACTTAATTTTAATGTACACTTTAAATCATTTTAACATTAAATAATGCCAGAGGTTTATTAAATGTTAGCCTGACATTAACTGAGGTCCCCTTATTTCTACTATATCAGTGTATTTTCTTTTTTCACTCTAAATAGCTGGTGCATATTGATCCTTTGCAGCAACATTGGTCGAAATGTGTATGTCATGATTCAATTATTTACATTTGACAAAAATGGTTGTGCTCAAAGTACAGTAACATTAGCTTATTTGGCAGCTAGCAGTGTTAGCATGTCCTGGTCGGTACCTTTTCAGCGTAGAAGCGGACTTCATCTGCTCGGGCCGCGGTGGTCTCGATCCTCTCGTGCCGGACCAGTCCTGTCAGAAGGTTCCGCAGCATGTTGATCCGGGACTCCGGACCCAGACCCATCTTCCGGGCCACCCGGCCGTGGGAGATCAACAACTGCAGCGTGAGGCGCATCTTGTCCGCTCAGAGTCGCAAGAACAGAAAAAACTATACCAAACGTGAAAATGTTCCCGGGTAAAATCTCTTCAACGCGCCCTCTGTCTACTTTATGAAGCAGTACCTTCAATATTATTACAAAACAAGAGGTCAGGTCAGTTATGTCGATGTGAAGTTGACATTGGTGGTGCACCGTTGAATGTGTCCGACTTGGTCACGGAGCTAGGGAGCAATAGTTCCGCTGTACTCACTGTCAGCCAAGAACCACAGAAAATGCTTTTCTTATATAGATTTTTATTGTGATTATGTAGTATTAGCATCCTTGTATCTTTTTGATGTTATATTTGCCTGTTTATTTATCCTTTTTATTATAAATGCAAAACACGGTGATTTGCTAAAACAAATTGGTTATTATAGCTGCATGGCCTCAATGTATTATAATATATTGGTGCCCCACCTTCTGGCTGCAGGTGAGCAAATCGTAAATTGCTGCTGTTATACAACGCGAGTGAATAGTATATATTTGTTTAAATCTACATAGTTCTTTTAATAAGTGCCGTGATTGAGGGAAAACACATTTGCGCATGCCTGTGTTCCTGATTGCTTGTTGCACAAAAGACAATTACAATTAATATTTATATAAACAAAGAAACAGAAGGGAGGAAATAATGATAGCTAGACTCAGAATAAATCACACAGCTTTGAATGATATATACGTTGTATATCGTGGGGAAAAGTGACAGTGACAAGTGTGGGAACTGTGGAGTAAAAGAAGATGTAGAACATATCTTGTTACATTGTGACATCTATAAAGCTGAAAGAGAAAAACTAAAGGCTAAAGTTTTAGAGGCAGAGAGGGAATGGACTGTGGTTGGTGTTTCGGGAACAAAAGGAGAGGGAGTAAGAGCTACCAGAAAGGCACTGTTTAACCTCCTGAGTGAAACCGGGGTAGGAAAAATAATTTAACATTAGCTCATTTTTGTTTGATTTATTTCATGTTTTTTTTTGTTGATTTTTTTGATTTCTTTATTAGATCATAGGTTAAGAGATGGATTGACATGGTGATTCATACTAATGTACAGTAGGTGGCGGTATGCACCTTTAAAGTTGTTTGCAATCCGCCAAAAACTGAGAGAAGAAGAAGAAGAAGAAGAAGAAGAAGAAGAAGAAGAAGAAGAAGAAGATGAAGATGATTGCTTGTTGCCCCCATGGATGTGGTTGCCCCACAGTGATCCTTCGTTGCGCCGTAGTTTGCACACGAAAGTCATCAAGAATTAAGTGGATTATTGTCCATAAAACATGAACACACAACATTTGAGATTAAAACGTTGTTATCCATATTGTTTTAAACCAAACTTCAGTTAAAGCAGATTGACTTACTATCTCAATATATTGACTTACTATCTCAATATATTGACTTAGCTATCTCAATATATTGAGTTATATATATTTTTACTGAAACAATTATGTCAAATACAGAATAAGGCACATAGACATCAATGTTCATCATATAAGTGGTAGGCCTACATCTTCATATTAAGGTACACACATTCACCATCAACTAGTTGTTCATTAACATGCATAGTAGTATATTGGCTCTTTATTAGTCATTTTAAAACACTTATTAATGCCTTATTCTACATGACCATATTCTACATGTAATCTGTGTATGTTACACTTGCATGTATGAGATCATTAAGTGCCTTGTAACTTTTTTTTTTAAATATAGTTTTACTCCGTTTGAATGTCAGTGGACTGCAAATAAGTCAATAAAGGAGCATGGCTGCTCATTCCCCTCAAAAGAGTTTGGCTGGCTGTTTAATCTTCACACTGAGACGGTACAACAAATAGAGAGAACAGTACACCTATTGTGTAATTACATACAAGCAGGTCACACAGTATGATCACAAATACATAAACTCTGTTAAAAATCAGTTTTATTAAAAAGTACAGGCTGCATATGTGTTCTCAGCCTTGGAGAAACTTGACATGTTTTGGTATGTGTCTGAACCTCTCTTTAGTGGTTCATTAATAAAACAAGATATTTCAACGTGAGCCTACTTTGTTTATTGTTGAGGTACATTTCAGTAGTTGTGTGCTATAATGTACAAAGTGTGAAGAGGAGGCAACTTTAGAATAGGGAACCAGGTTCTGGTCCAGGCTCTCGTCATCTCACGCCTAGACTACTGCAACCCCTCCTGGCTGGTCTACCTGCATGTGCCATCCGACCTCTGCAGCTCATCCAGAATGCAGCGGCTCGTCTGGTCTTCAACATTCCTAAATTCTCCCACACCACGCCGCTCCTCCGCTCCCTTCACTGGCTTCCGGTAACTGCTAGAATCCACTTCAAGACACTGGTACTTGCGTACCATGCTGTGAATAGATCTGCACGTGCACTCCGCTCTGCATCAGCCAAACAGCGCGCTGCACCCGCACTGCGAGGGGGACCCAAGTTCCCATCAGCAAAAACTCGTGGGTTTGCTATCCTGGCTCCAAAATGGTGGAATGAGCTCCCCATTGAAATCAGGACAGCAGAAAGCTTGCACATCTTCCGGCGCAGACTGAAAACTCATCTCTTTCAACTCCACTTCGAGCGATAGAATTACTAACAAAGCACTTATANAGAAACACCTCTTGTGGTATAACCGGCAAGAGAGAAAGCCTTTGAGCTCCATACTGTTTCAGAGATAATCCTTGATAATCCATGATATGGCGTTTCATCACCGCAGTATTTAGTTTAGACAGTAGCTGCCGGGTCCCGCATGAGCTCAGCCCCCTCCTTTTTTTTAATATATATATATATTTTTTAAGCTTTATACCCCAAATCAGCCCTTTAGAAACAGGAAGTGAAATAGAGGGATATGAGGCATTGCTAGAATGGGTGATCTGTTTGGTTTTGAGCAAAAACACTTCATAGACATGTTTTTTATATATTTTTATATATCTGAGACCTATGCTATTGCCTAGAAATAACATGATAGGTGACCTTTAAAGGTGACCTATCATGCAAAATGCACTTTTGTACGTCTTTTCTACATGAATATGTGTCCCCGGTGTTACAAAAGTGCATTTTGCATGATAGGTCACCTTTAAAGGTCACCTATCATGTTATTTCTAGGCAATNTGCTCCTTCAGTCCTTGAAATATAAGATTAGAAAATAAGAATTTGTAAAAAATTATTGCTCTCTTTTTATTTGAGTAAACGTATTGCTCGACACGACGAATCAAAGAGGGAGGGGGGGGCCCTATTTGACACGAAATAAAAACTTTAGTCCTCGCAAAGGACACCGCTGTCTGCCGACAAGAGTCTGTCCTCATATCAGGTGTCACACAAAGGGTACTCGGATTCTCAAAGCGTCACCCGCCCTCAGACACACCCCCCAACACGGACACACGCCACAGTAGTGGACGTGAGGTGTCGGTGGCAAAGGACGCACCCGCCTGCGACTCCTGCCTCTGTACGTCGTAGGCTTCTCGGCCTCCTACAGTCCCCACCACAATCTCTGACGCCTCTTCCATTTTGTGTTGTTGTAATAATAACATCAGTAATGATGTTGTTTGTTGCATGGTGACGTTGGAATGATGATGACGTATGATGTTGTTGTTTGACGATGACGACGATGATGTTGTTGATGATGACGAACGATGATTATGACGACGATGATGTTGGTTGTTTATCTGATGATAATGATGATGAGAAATTATATGGATGATGATCAGTCTAATTACTTGTCACTTTGAGCGAGTACCTGAAATTTCCACTTATGAAATTCTTTTTCGAAAAAGAGCGGTGAGAATTTTCGTGATACCCAAAAAGAAGGTCACACTTATGCACTCAAAAAACTCTCTTGAACTAACTCAACTTTCAACAGGGTGTGAGAAGTGTCGACATGCCAAAAAGAGGGCACACTTGTGCTTCTACACTAAAACTCTCGTAGACTGGATCACTTTACAAAAGGGTTGAGAAGTGCGACATGCCAAAAAGAGGTCACACCTTATGTCCACTACAAAAAACTCATCTTGAACTAACTCACTTTCAACTAGAGTGTGAGAAGTGTCGACATGCCAAAAAGAGGTCACACTTATGCCAACTACATTAAGATCCCTCGTGGACTACATGCACTTATCAAAAGGTGTGAGAAGTGTCGTCATGCAAAAAGAGGGCACACCTATGCAACTACACAAACTCTCGTGGACTAACTAACTTTCAACAGGGTGTGAGAAGTGTCGAACATGCAAAAAGAAGAGGGCACCACTTATGCAAATACATAAAACTCCTACTGAACTAAATCACTTTCAACAGGTTGTGAGAAGTGTCGACATGCCAAAAAGAGGGCACACGTGTGTTCACCGCGAAATGTAAACAGATCTACAACATTTTCCTAACAGTGTAACGACTGTCGACACCTGCCAGAGGAGAAGGAAAGCCAAAGATCTTGTCTCAGAGCTGACTTCCTGTTGCAGAGAAAATAGAATATTTTTTGTTTGTAAAAAAACCTTATTTATTCAGTTAAAAAACAGAACCCGACACGAGACAGTAAAACTACGATTAAATTCAGAAGTTAAATAAATATGAATTTAAATCTCAGGAAGTCTTAATTTCCCCTGAATTTGTTAATTAAACATTTTTATTTTTTTATGAAGTTTTTTATTTTAGGAGATATATTTATCCCCCCCTCTTCTTCTGTGGTGGCGCAGGCGGCTGCTTCATGTTGTAAATAGAGCTGTGCAGACAGACGTGTGATCAGAAGGTTTTCTGTAAAGAATGATTTATAGTATTTTTTAAGAGACGCCTGTTTGTACTGTATTATCAACTCGTGGTTTTCTATGTAATGATTTGTTAGGCTGTAAATACACCGACACAAGTACAATGAGCAGCTCTCTGTTTCTAATCAAGTTTTTAAATAAGTCACCACGAGTCTCAGGCCCTCTACTTTAAAGAGTCCTCTCCTGCTGATGAGGTGTATATCAGTGTGTAGTGTCTCTACTTTAAAGAGTCCTCTCCTGCTGATGTTCAGGTGTACATCAGTATGTAGTGTCTCTGCTTTAAAGAGTCCTCTCCTTCAGGTGTATGTCAGGTTGAATGTTCCATTCAAAAATGTTATTAAAAAGGCATGTAAACTATAAAAGATGACTATTGAGGTCTATTGTCAGGAATGTTAGTGTTATATCAAATAGTGAATTCTACTGCAGCAGAATGTTGCAGTAGAATGTTGCACGTCTGCACAGTGTTATATTTTCACCGCTCAGTGTCTGTAAATATTGTGCAGTTACTATTGGACTACAAGATAGATGCAAGCCTGGACAGGCAGAGTTATTTAAAGCATAAATGAGTCTGTTGAGTTCTGGATGTGTGGTTACAGCAATTGTGCTTGGTTGGCGTGTCCTGTATCTGGTGGTGGGGCCCAATGTGATATATTTTCATGGGGCCCAAAATCCCTGGCGGCGCCCCTGCAACTAAGTGAAAGGAAAGTCCTCTCCTGTCAGATAAAGTCAGCTCAGTGAGGTAAAGGACTCTCTCAGTGTTTAGATAGTTAACTTTAGTCTAAGTCAGCGGTTTTCAAAGTGTGAGGCGCGCCTCCCCTGGGGGGTGCCAGAGAGCTTCAGGGGAGGCGCAGCGTGAGAAAAAAAAATAAATAAATGTACGCACTTGTTCCATTTATGAGCACAGTGCAGTAATGAAGCTCATTTGTTATTCATTGCTACCCTCTAGTGTTCAAAAGGAGGAAAAACAATAAAACCTGCAGAGGGATGCTTTTATTCTCTGTTGACTATTTATTTTTGTGCACTGCACTTGATCATTATGTACATCCCATGTATTGGTAAACAGAACTGAAAAGGAACACATGAACTACACAGTTTAGTAATACTTACAGCAGACAGGCAAACACATAACGTACAATAGTCTGTGTCCAAATCGGATCACTTCCATACGCACCACAATTTCAAACAACACACATCCACTGACTACAATGTAGAGCTTAGCTATTTAACATAGCCGATAGATTGCAGGTAAACAGTTCAGTCAGCGAGGGAGCGTATGAGGGTTATTTCACATGTAGTTCCTCAGTGTAAATAGAGCACAGAAGCACACACTACACACTTCCTGCGTCTGGTCAAGCCGTAGCCTTGAGTTCAGGGTCCAACATTTTCACCTTGAGACTCAGTCTTGTTCAGCGATGTATTTCAGCCAAAAAGCTCTGCCATGTAATCCATTCTGGGTCCCAAACCCAGTTGAAGAAACACCACTTTAGAAGTCATACTTTATTTCCAGTGTTCAGTATTGAGTCAAAGTCCGAAACACACATGAACAAACTTGGAGTCCTGGGTATGAATGAAGTCAAACCAAGGGAGATAAACCACATGACGGTTAAGAAGGATTTCCAAAACAGAGAGTATGAAAACAGTAATGATATAAAGAGCGGTTTATGAACATGTCTCGGTAGATATTCTGCCTTATTAGCTTTAGTGAAAATTGAGTTTAAACAGGGGGTTACAGTAGAGCTCTGTCAATCACTCGAAGCTGTAAGGTAAGGATGTTGTAAATAAAATGTCAGAGAAATTGAGAATTGATTCAGTTTCAACTTACAATGACTACATAAGTATTCTCTATTTTGCATATGTTTGCCATTTGCCGATGGACTTAATTTCAGAACCTTATAATACTTTCTACACAAAATGACAACACCAGTATTACAGTTTTTATCGTGCAGAGGAGCAATACCATCAGTATATTATTGAAACTACATGGGGAGAATTTAATCTGTTTTAGATTCAATCAATCAATTCAACTATTAAAAAACGCAACATTTTCTGTTACCTTTGATATGAAAGTGTGTCAGTAGAACTCAAGCGCACACAAAAAGCTGCATGATAATTACAAATAAAAGTGTCAATGCTGTGATGTAAATGTCTCACAAATGTAAACAAAGATACATAAGTAATTTAAAAAAAACATTTTGCAATCACTGCAAATCAGTGTTTTGATATAAGTCTTGAAATAACAGCAGATATGTAATACGAGCGATTTCAGAGAAATTAGTTTCACTAAAGCTCATTAATTCCCTCATATGATTTTACAGTATGAGAACATTTTCAATCCTGCGACTCGCTATTTAGGGACTTTGAATAGAAATGTCATTTGTAATAGATATTTCCACATCTGTTGTTTGGAAAATGTTATTGCAGACTATAAAGGCTATCATAGTCTGATATAGTCTCAGAAGACATTCCTGTGTTTTGTCAGTAAATGAGTAAAACACTTCCCCGCAAATAACCCAAACAAGTCCTTTACATACATTATCTGACAACATGCAGTTACATTTAACAAAAATAATTTAGCAGGCCTGACACATGAAACAATAGATGAAGACAAACAAAAATGAACAAATAAATAAATAACAATGGCTTTCCTTCAAAGGTGCACCGAGCAAAGTTTGTGCTTTCACGCAGCTCGCCTGCAAAAAAACATGTGACTGTATGAGTCTGAAGCCTCAAGGTGCTTCAGGTATGGATCTGTACATGTGCTAATCCCAGAATACAGTATATAACCCTCGGTTCCCTACAAACATGGGAACACACATCAAGAATCATTCACCTAAAGTCAAAACACCATAGTGTTAATCTGTTATATGTATATACTGTAAGGTTGGGAGCAGCCTTCTGATCTGTGTTTTCATTGAAGAGCCCCTTCATTTTCATTTTCATTCACGGTCAGCAGTTAACATTTTTAAGATAATTAAGAAGCCGACCTGTAATCAGAAGCAGTGTCAGCAATTTGTAATTATTTTCTGCACTTTTTAAATGAGAAAGATTGTTAATTTGTACCTCCAACCACCCCTATTTTGGATGGAAACCAATGTTTTGTGTGTAAGAGGCTTAAATTGATATTAAATGCTTACTTATGCCTTACAGACTACCTGAATCCCCTTTTTAAAAGCAGTCTGTGACATGCTTGCTCAATTTACTCCCTGATGTATTTTTCTCTAATCTTGGTTGTCCACCGTCTCTTGTCACTTTTGATACATCTCCTCTGAATCAAGCATTTATTTTGTTTTTCTAGACGTCCCGGTGACTCCGCTTTGAATGCTGGGTTGGTTTCAGGGCTAAAGACACTCAACAAGGGAGGGTAATGTTGCACCACAAACATTCAGTAGGTAGGTTCATTAGAGCAGTCACACTGTTAGTCACTGGAGTTTTGTTGTCTTTTACTGTCTTTGTAGATCGACTGGATGTTCTGTGTTTGTTGAGAAGAGAGATATGGGTCAAAGCACAGGTATAAAGGCGATGTTGGAGGAGGAGCTGTAGTCTGTCGACCAAAGGTGGTGACACACTTTTAGGAGGGTTAGACGACAGAATCAGGAGGGACATCCGCTTCTCACTCACTTCCTCTCACTATTTATTCAGTAGAGGGGTTTTTGTCCTTGGCTGTCAAATTCTGACCAGGCGTCATTTAGTTCCATGAAAATCATCTTGGCATATTGTTCATAGGGCTGTCCTGTGGCCTGTGGGAAAGAAAGAGAAAGCTGTAACACTCCTCTTCTAGCCATATCCAAATGAGTGATGCAAAGCATCTGTTTTGCCTTTGCCAAACTTGATTGTCTCAATGGCAACAGTACAAATAAAAGGTCAAAAAGAAATAAGGACATCAAAAAAAGAATCAATCATAATACCCAACTCAATTCAAAGATTGAAGCTTACACACAAGTGCACAATAACATAGTTTATCATCCAAATGCTATCCTTGACACTTTTTAATGTTTATCAATGATCAGTTGTCACATTTTAAACAAATCAGTAATTTTGTATTACTACTTGTATTTTGCATATGTATCTATAAAGTCTAGTTTGTTGCTTTTTATTCTAATGTTTTAGTTTTTAATTATTTGATTGTTTTGTGTCCTTGGTGCTAGAAAAACACTTATATTTTTACTTAAAGTATTATTTTTGTTGTTGTCATGGCTGCGCAGATCTAGTTGGTTCAAGGGGAAGGGTTACAACTTCAAAACTTATATCAGGTTTTAAGAAAAAGAGCAGGATATACATTATATATTTCTGACAGGGAACATAGAGTTTGTGGGACCCCAAACAATGAAAAATAAATCTCAATAAAAACAGGGCGGATTGAAGAGAACTTTGATATAGGGACAGAGGGATTTACATACTGTATCTCCTAGCAAGCATACAAGTCATCATTAATATTATCATTATGAAGTCAACTAGCACATGTTTCTCACCTTATCTGGGTGCACGACCAGGACTGCTTTGCGGTAGACCTTCTTGACCTGTTCTGGCGTGACCAGGTCAGCCATGCCTACAGGCTTCCAGCGCGTCTCCCCTTCCCACAGCACCGTGTGCATGGTGGACAGTAGAGCGCGGATGTTACGCTCCTTCCCCTCGATCCAGTCCAGAATCTGGGTCACAAACAGGGAGAGAGGGGAGGGCCATTAGCCAGTGATGCCAAGATTTGGGGCAATTATTAGCAGAAATGCTTTGATGATGGTTCCTGGCTCTGGTGAAATGTTTTTGAAGGAGATATTAGGGGGACCAAAGTTTCATCCTGGGAGACCTATATTGGTCGCTTCATTAATTCTGAAACAACCAGAAATTCTTTAACAGCCAAAGCTAAACTAAATTAAATGATGATAAAAACCTAGTGAACTGATGTCAAACCATAATTCTCCTCGGATATAGTCACTTGACTTTATGGAGTTACTCACAGAAACTCTGACAGCAAATAAACAAACCAACACTTATTTCTATGACTAACCAAATGTAACTCAATTAAACTTAAGAAAAAAACCTGCCTTTATTTTCTCAGGGTCCATCTCTTTGGCCATCTCCTCCTTCCTCATCTCTGCTATAGTCCTGGGCCCTTTCTTCTCTTTGGTCCCAGCGAAGCCCTGACCAGAGAGCAGGTCATCAAAGTTGGCATTCACGACTTTCGGCTTAGTACCTGGCACACAGGGATACAAACAGAAAGTCAAAAATACATACTTTTAAAGATAATCTGTCACTTATTTATGTTTCTGAACAACTAGATCCGATGTACTCTTTATGGCAGATCCATTTCTACAGCATCAAAAGGTTAATGTATACAGAAATCAAGTCTAAATATTACACCTACCTCTCTGCTCTCTCTTCTAAATATAGTATTTGTTTTTTTTAATAGTACATTCATTTTGAACCATTTTGGCAAATAATGTTAAATATCTCATGCATAAAGAATTAAACACACTCCAAACTTTTTAAACTCCAAGCAAACTGTATAATGACAGATAGTATCAAATCTAAGTCCCCTTCTCCTGCTTACCAATGCTAGCCTGTGCTTTAACCGCTGCGCTGGGCGAGCCCCCTCCCATTGCTGAGAAGCTGACATTGTAGTTGGGTCGGCCCCCGGGCGATGCGTGCGGCATGGGGGTGTGGCTGGGGCTGGGCTTTGGCTGCGGGGCGGGGCCCGGTCCTTGGGGTTGCCATCCCCCGCCAACTCCAGCACCTGGCTGCCACGAGGGGAAGCCTGCTCCTGGGTTGGACTGCCACCCCTCTGTATGCTGGGGAGACGGGGGTGGTCGGGAAGGGGAGCCCATGGGAGGGATGGGAGGGATGGGAGGGATGGGAGGGATGGAAGGGGTAGGCCCAGTAGGAGTGGTCGGTTTGCTGGAGAAGCCAGAGCCTGCAATTGTAAAAAACGGAGATAATGACATGAGATAAAAATATCAGAGAGTCGCGTTGGGCTTCAGCAAATTTTCTGTCACTGACCTCCACCGAGGTTGCCTAAGTCAGCGAATGGGTCCAAGTTTGGCTTGGATTGGTGGGTGGGGGTGCTGTTGACTGAGCCTGTGGGGCTCGTAGTGGCTGACCGACTTCCCATACTAAAGCCTGCTCCTGGATAAATCAACAAACAATGCATATACGTTTTAGAGTGTTTTTTTACTCTTCAGTATTTTTTTTCAGTGGCAAATTGGCTCGAAATTAATTTCCCTCGATTTAAGTATTAGGACATTCAGTGTGTGTGTGTGTGTGTGTGTGTGTGTGTGTGTGTGTGTGTGTGTGTGTGTGTGTGTGTGTGTGTGTGTGTGTTACTGGTCTTTACCTGTGCTTGTAGTAGCGGGTCTGTTCCAGTCCCACCCTCCCTTTGCATTTTGCTGCTGAATGTTGACGGTTGGGGTGCTTGGTGGGACGGGGGAGTTTCGGCCTATAGGAAAATATAAAGGTTAGTCCAAGACTGAACACACAATGAAGAGGAACTGAGCAACAGGAATCCAGACAGTCAAAGAAAATGATAAGTCATAAAGCGTTACTAGCGGATCTTTGAAGTCTGAATGGATCTGGTGTTAGTTCTTGAAACTACATTTACTGTTGATATATTCCTTGCTCTAAGACAAAAAAGTGTCATACCTAACTGTGATGATCATGTTCAATTTATTGGTGGTAAGCCTCTGACCGAATATGTGCTTCTCTTGTTGGTTTTGTTGGTATATTATCCTTTTGTCAAGAGCCAAAAAACGTGTATTAAATACTTGAAATAGAGGACGGCAAATTCTACTAAATATTTATAAAGCTTGTTCAGACCGGTTTTTACAAGCATTAGTGCAAGTTAAGGTTAGGCTCAGGCCAACATGTACATTAAATGTTACTGTAAATTTAGAATTAGCAAGATACATCAAAGATTTAAAAGCATACTGATAATGTTCTGGTCTTGATTCATTATGCACAGACTCCTCTGTACAAAGTGTTGAATCGCAAGAAATGTCAGCAGGCTGAAAAAGTAGTTTCATAGAAACATAAATCACAAGTGCTGGGGTGACATGAAGCCTGTGCAATCTGCATGCAATACTAATCAGACATGCTTCAAACATTTGTAAAACATAATAATTTCCAAACATACAGCAGCAATAATATACAGGCTCACTCTTGCAAGCAAGCGTGTGATTAAGCAATGAGAAGTGCAAAATTATGAGAACGGAAAAAGACATTTATAACAGTGCAGGCTCATGCATTTTGGGGAAACATTTTTAAGGCATAGCAGTAGACACTCACTAACTTGCCTTAGCTTAATATGGAGTCTTCAACTAAATATAAAATGCTGTGAGAGCGTTCAGCAGCAGAAGCATGCCTTACCCGAGCTTTTAGGCTGCAGGGTGGGTGATGGAGAGCGAGCAGCATGCACGAAGGGGTCTGGCTGCCCCACGTTACCTGTTGCAAGGAATGAACCCATCATGTCCTGAGGCTTAGGCATGGGACCTGCCCCGAAGGGATCAAATGCTGAGGGAAACAAACAAAAAAATAATCTTATTCTGTTACTCTATTAAATTACATAGTCTAACTAGTTTATGTTGTTTCATTTAAAGGTCCCATGTCATGGCCATTTCTACTGATCATAATTCCATTGTTGAGGTATGCTAAAATGGATTTATATTGTGCAATTTTCCAAACTCACATTGGTTTCTCATACAGCATCTCTGTATAGTATGTGTATTTACTCTCTGTCCTAAACGGCTTGTTGGAGCTCCTGCCCCCCACTCCCTATGAGACCAGTGGCCGTCTGCGAGACAGCGAGACACAGCGAAACCCAGCCCGAACACACACACACACACACCAGCAGCCTGGCTGGGAGTTTGTGTGTGTGCTCACATAGACTCACAGCCTCGCCGCGTCCCGCCATCTCAGGGAGGAGAAATCGGCGGAGCTGCAGCTGAGGAAAGATTGAGTGTGTGTGTGTGAGGAAGTCCGCGGATTGGTCCAACGTAACGGCTCCGCAGACGTAACATAACGGCTCCACGGATTGGTCCATTTGGGATGAGTGTTAGAGTTTTACTTGCTACAGGGTTTGTGACTTTGCAGAAGTTTTGCATGCATAGAAACCTTCATAACACACAAGGGGAGGGGTAATAACCGGAAAAGCATGACATGGGACCTTTAATGTATTACTTTTTTCAATTTAAATGTGTAGTGTTACTGGAATTCTTTGAATAGTATATATTTCAAAAATGATCTTAACATTTTTTTTACGTGACAAAAGAGTAATTATCACCTAGAATTTTCTATTTTCCAATAAATCTTTGATAGTTTTCATTACATATTGTAAAATATACTTTATTGTTCTTACTTTCCGAAGGTCTACTAATTGATTTATTTCTTCCAAGAACCTACTTTTTGATCCTTCATTTACATGACCCCGCTTTAATTCATAAACTTGTGTAAGCATGACAAAATAATCTTAATTTATGTTGAAATGAACTTCAAGTTATCTCACCTGTTGGTGCCGGTGAGGGACATGGCGAGGCAGTGTTTGGGACTACTTTATGTGGTGTGGACTGGGCAGATGACCCCCCATTGGTTGGCTGGGGTGGGCCCCCGAACAAGTCCCCGAGAAGGTCAGTTGTTGCGGCTGCAGCGGACGGGGGCTGAGATGAAGGACGGTTGATCCCCGCCCCATCGAGGCCAAGAAGATCCACTTCCTCTGCAGGTGCAGGGGCGGCAGGCATTGGAGCAGGGGGATCGGGTCTTTGGGGGGCCGTGCTGGCATTGCTTCGCTGGCTGGAGAGAGACAGCATCTCATCATCCGAGGGCTCGCTCTCCTCGCCGTGAGCCCGACCTTCTGCACCTCCTTGAGGCCGACTTGGCTCTGCAGGAGGATGAAACATAGAAAGAAGGAGGTAGAGAAAGAACGAGACAAAGGAAATGTATTTAATATCCCAATGAGAAAGAGTCAAGGGGTGAAAGTAAAGAGAAATATCACAGACCAAGGAAATTAATTGGGGTAACAAAGACAGAAATATACAAGAGATTAAGAAAAAAAAAAGGAAGGAATAATGGGCAATTACATAGGTAATCTCTGCTACATGCACCAACAATTCTGCTGATACTGTATTCTATAATGGACTATGCTTTAAAAGGAGGGTTGGGCAGTATGACTGTCTATAAACCTAAGATACTATTAGCTATTTCGTTTCACTTTGATAGAACATTTAATATGTTTCCCACCTATAGCTGCACTGGGCTTAGGTGATTTTTACCCAGTTTCTCAATATTTTTCTGGATACAGGGAGAATATAGATTGGTCCACAAGGTATTAGGAGATGTTTGTAAGGGGAATTACTAACACTAGGCCTAATGTATTCAGATACCCAGCTGATGGGTATCTGTGCCAGAAACTGAACAAGTATGGGGTCTATTTCAATTCAATCAATACAGGTTTTAAATGGAAACAGTCAAGTGTTTTTCCAATTACAGAATATGAATTAGTTAAAAGGATCAATGATCTCTCTAGATTTTTTTGGTAGATGTGATTGAATTGAACTCATCCCAGGGTAACTACAGTACAGGTCTGTGGTCGCCATTACTGTCTTACCCTCCAGATCCAATCCCTCCATCTCATCTTGTAGGAACAAAAGTACAAGTTAATTAATTAGTGTGTTTGTGTGTATGCATGCAAGTGTGAGCTTTTGTGTTTTTGGTTATAGCTACACTATTTTCCTAACTTATCCGTGATATTCATCAGTTCTGCACCAGCTCAAACATTTGTACAGAACAATGTGTGTATAAGTTAATGTATGATATGTAAATGTAGTTTCGTGATTATTTATTAGGCTATTCAGTTGATTTTTTTATCCCTGTGGGCACCACTCTGAGTTATAGACTTTCTATTTTTGGCTAGCATCAGAGTTGATTATTTTTAAGTAGTTAATGCTTAAATGTTAGCAATGAACCACTTAGATTTTACATCACATTCAGGTTAGGAAGCTTTAACTAGTAAAGCAAGTAATGTAAAGACAAAAAGTTTCCTAATGTTATGTTAACAAGATAAAGTATACTGTGTACAGTTCCACAGGAATTCATGTAGCTAATGTTACACAAAAATCGGGCAAGGTTACTAGCTAGCTAACTAGCATGTAAACCAAGCTAGCTGGTATCCTGCTAGCTTGTGTTACTCCTTGTGTTTTCTCTTTGAGGTTGTGAGCTGAAACTTGATACAGGTCCATATTTTTGGTGCAGCCACTAATTGACTTTATTTCTAATTATATAGTTGATTGTAAAATGTGACATCTTCATCTCCTAAATAAAGATCTACGACCTTTTAACAAATGGGCCAACAGCTACCTCCCTTTTGTATCAGAGCCATGAGATAGTATGTTGTGATTGAATTAACAATATAATCTCCATTTTGATCTTTGTTTATGTGACAGGCATGTAGTTGCCAAGCCAGTATTGAACTATGAACAGAAAACCCTAATATCTTTATGATAGAGCTTTTCAGAAAGGCTGATTAAAGACAATAACACACAAAAGCTAATGGAGCATAGCATATAGCTTCCCATCTAAAGTGTGTTTTGCAGTATGTTACATTACATTGCATTTAGCTGACGCTTTTATCCAAAGCGACTTACAATAAGTACATTCGACCAGGAAGATACAAACTTGAAGAAAACAGAATCATATAAGTACATCAGGTTTCATAGAGCCAA